GGGGGAGGGAGGGGGGGTGTGTCAGGAATAGGTATAGGTCTTTGGGATGACAACTGACATATAACGGGATGAACGGATGAGAATTTATAGTATAAAGGAATGAAAAGAGTTTTAAAAAAAAAAAGGAATTGAAGGAAAGCTATAAAGGTATGAAAGGAAGAAAAATAAAGGAATGAAAGGTTAAGAATAAAGGAATGAAAGAAAAACTATAAAGGAATGAAAGAATTTTAATGAAAAGATGGTAAAGGAATGAAAGATTTTAATGAAAGAATGAAAAGATGGTAAAGGAATGAAAGGATTTTAATGAAAGAATGAAAAGATGGTAAAGGAATGAAACGATTTTAATGAAAGAATGAAAAGATGGTAAAGGAATGAAAGAATGAGCAAAAAGAAATGAAATGATTATTTAAGTAGTCCCTGTAACAACGATTGTTTTTATTTGTTTGGTTTTAGTAAGAGTTTTACGGCATTTTTATCTCGAGTAGGTCATATTACAAGTGCCGAAGATTAGAGTAGATGTTACTAGGGAGTAATATACAGAGAGAAAAGGAGGAGGAGGAGAGAAAGGGGCGATAATGTTTGTTGATGAAACAGAAGAAGTAAACCTCACCAGTGCACCCGCCCACCACCCACTTACAAAAAGCCCCACCTGGAGCGGTGCTACTGACTGAAGTGTCTTTCGGACATTCCCAAAGGGGGGACATTTCTCGTTCTTGCACAGTAGAATTGTAAATGGGCTGATTCATCATGTCACGCTCCTAACTGTGCCTGAACAGTCTGCAACAGAGATTTGCTACTTTTTCTTTCCTCATCCTTTTTATCGTCATTTTCCTCTGCTTCTTTTGTATGTTTGTCGCACTCTTGTGACCCGATATTTCCAGGGTGCTTTGACAGTCGAAGCAGAGTTTATGCTGTTGAAGCTAGAGAGGTGAACAGAGTAAGTCTGATTCCCTGTAAGGACTTCTCTGTTGACACCCACCCCTTGGCGCTCATATAACCTTATGCAGTTGCGAACGCCGTAAAACCTTACTAAAACTAAATAACTAATCTCTTACAAAGGCTGGTATTTCTTATTTGAAATGTGGCATCAGTGGCCTAGTGATCAGGCTACCGGACTCGAAATCATGAGGTTGTCGGTGGTCTAGTGGTTAGGCTACCGGACTCGAAATCGTGAGGTCGCAGGTTCGGGGGTTCGAGTCGTGGGCCCGACGTTGTGTCCTTGGGAAAGTCACTTTACACGAATTTTCCTCACTTCACCCAGGTGAGAATGGGTACCTGGCTATGGACAGCGAAAGATCTTGGCAGTGTATTAGTGTTTTAGCGCCTATAAATGTCCGCTTGCACTGTATGCTTCCCAGGAAGTTGAGGTTGTTTCAGAATACTCTCAGGTCTGCTGGGGTATGGGGATTTGCACTGTAAAGTTAAAATTGTTCGCGCATCCGATCCGGACATTGGGGATTGCCTTGTTACTGAGACAACTTCCTGGGCCTTCGGCATATTGTGGTAGGGTGGTGTTCGCTGTACAAATGCTATTTATTATTATTAACCCTATCGGTACGTCGTGTTTTACTATCGTATACATACGACGTGGGGAACTCTGTACCACCACTTTCCAAAGATGAAATTTACTCGTTAATCCGATCCGTACGCTTTGCATAGCAGTCTGTCAATATGATTTTTGGAGAAATACTGAAAGTTTCAAAGAGATCTTCGCCCTAGAAGTATTCTAAAATGTGAAGAATACAACCCCGGGGGTACAAAATGACCCCAGAGCGTACTGATAGGGTTAAATGGTCGCTTTTAAGCACAAGTGGGCTATCCCGAAAAATGCTGTTTTGAGAAAATCAAAGGTAAAGTTTTTGCCCCTTGTTCAGTTTCTTTAATAGACAAGGAGAGTTTTCTCTAAAAGTAGACAAATATACACACCAATGAAACCAAACTTCTCCTATAGGTAGGGCAATGCCCACTTTTGGTTTTGGTCAAGATTTCTGGAAACCCCCAATATCTGGGTTAGCCCGCTTGTCCTTAAAAGCGACCAAATGAGTGCAGAGATTTCTGCCGAGTGAC